GTGCTGTGCTGTGCTGACAACCATAGTGTTGACATGGCTCTGCTGTGATGTGCTGTGCTGACAACCATAGTGCTGACATTGCCCGTCCACCATGTCTGTACCTGTGGCGCCCGGCCAGAGCAGCCCGGACCCCACGCGTTAATGGAGTCCACGCAACGCCAATATTGGTCCATGTCACCCGCGTTGTAGTATGAGACGCAGGTTTGCATTCTCCTCTCGATCGCGGATTGGCATGAGGCTGGTGTAATAGGGACCGCCCAGTGAGGCGGCAGGCAGGATAGGAGAATCGAGGAGCTTGATTAGAAAACGTTCTCGGGTTTTGCCGGACAAATCGCGACAGCAAGGCAGCAATGTCTCATTGCTACTAGAAAGTGAAGGCCGATGCCTTGCAATCCCAGATGCCAAGGCACGCAGCAAATCCGTGTGGAAAAGGCACGGACATTTGGAGAAAAAAACAGAGCACTCTGAAAAAATATCACAGCGGGGGAACGGCAGAGGACCTGATCGCTCATTCTACATTTGCCAAGCCCTAAACCAGTGTTTTTTCCGTACAAGTAGACCGACTCCCGTGATCATCGTACCATCGGATACCGCCGGGAGCTTGCGGTGGCGCTGCACGCGCGGCACTTGGTTGGGCTGGCCGGCACTCGCCGCGTTTTCTGCTGTGGCGACGCCATCTGTCGCCGCGCTCGTTGCTGGTAGGGGCAGGGGAGAATGAGGGTCAGTTAAGCGGAGGAGGCCGGGGCAGAGTGAGATGGGATGAGTGGGTAGACTGAGGGGAGTGAGAGGAAGGAGGTAGGGGCGGATAGAGGGGAGGCATGAGAGGAGTTGGATGGCATGGTTGACCGGATATAAGCGCCATACGCCTTTTATAAGCGCCGGCACTTATCATAGGCCTGCGCTCCTATCCGGGGGCTTACGGTATCGGGACGAAATTTCTAGGAAACTTCGTCTCGATAAGTCGAGTTTCATGAAGGGGTGGCGGGAGAGGGGGGGGGGGGGGGGGGGGAGCTCTCTATACGCTCTTCACTTCAGGGTAATCTTCGCTAAGGGAAATATTACCCCAGAGCATCAGTGTGGCCTAAGGGTACATTCCGCTCAGGACATGTCCTTTAAGAAAGTGTCGCAAACACATTTTGGCTGAGTCACACTCAAATGTCTCTGAACCTGATGTCACAAAGGATCGATGTACTGCGACCCTGCAGTAGCACGCGACAATTATACGAGAAGGGCTGTGAATTGCCCTTCACGTGAGTGGACCACTCATTGTGATGATCAGCCGCACCAACACAGCAAGCCCCTCAAAATCCAACCAGGTACATGCAGAGGGGATAGACATTTGGAACCGCGTCCGATGGCAGGTCCTTGTCGCGCTGGCGTTCAATTAGCCCGCGAAATTTCGGTGGTTCACGCCAATCGAAATAACATTTTGCGACTTTGCTGCGTGGTCCGGAATTCCAACACATGGCAGCATATGCTGTAAGTAAGCGTCACAATCGATTGCGAGGCGCTGGAGCTGGAGCTGGAGACCCTAGCGCTGGAGGCGCTGGAGCTGGAGGCACTGACGCTGGAAGCGCTGGAGCTGGAGGCACTGGAGCTGGAGGCACTGGCGCTGGCGGCGCTGGAGCTGGAGGAGCTGGAGCTGGAGACCCTGGCGCTAAAGGCGCTGGAGCTGGAGGCACTGGCGCTGGAGCTGTCAGCCCTGGAGCTGGAGGCGCTGGAGCTGGGGACCCTAGAGCTCGAGGTGCTGGCGCTTGGGGTGCTGGAGCTGGCAGTGCTGGTGCTGGAGGCACTATGCAGCGGCGACCGTTTTTTGTTTTGCCGCAGCCGTCGCCTTTGCCGCCACGTGACTTGGTCCTTCGCCAGGTTCTTAGTCTCCCGTCTTCTACTGGCCTTACTCCTAGCTTGCTGTGTCCACCGCCTCATCAGTCGCAGCCACAGTTACAGCCAGACTCCCCACTACCTGCTCCTTCTCCTTACGCTGAGCAGACAGACTCTTTTACAGAGCGTCGTGAGCCAGAGTCTCGTCCTGCCTCGCCTGTTCGCGCTGTTCGCACTAGTCGTCGTGTTCCTCGTCCGCGTCCTCCTCCTGTCCTCGGCACTCACATTATGGCACTTCGTCCTTCCTCTGTTCCACTGCGAGTTCCCCTGCTCCCTCCTCCTGCGTCCTCTCTTCCTGCCATTCCTGACCCTGAGTCTGACTTACCTCATGCTGCCAGTCCTACTATCCCTCGTCTTCTAGCCACTGTTGTCACTGACCCTTCGTTTGAGTCCAGTGCTGCGTCTGCCCTAGTTGCTGAGCTTGTTGACTTTGCTACCGCATGTCGTCTCGACTACGCCACTAGACTTGTTGCTGAGTCTGAGTCTGACTGTCCTCCGTCCATCGGGGGTGAGTGTGCTCTTGGCACGGACGACCTTGAGGACAGGCAGGAGGACTTTGAGTGTCTTGCAACTGCTGTACCTCATCTCGTGGCCATGCTGCTTACACCTGAGGGAGACCCGGATGCACCAGACATCCCGACCACGCGCTCTTACGCAGAGGCGATTACGGGTCCCTACTCCTCTCAGTGGCACATAGCCATGGACGCAGAGATGGCATCCTGGAAGTCCACAGGCACCTACGTCGACGCGGTTCCCCCTTCTGGGGCGAACATACTCGATGGCATGTGGATTTTCAGGGTGAAGCGGCCGCCGGGTTCTCACCTATCTTCAAGGCTCGTTACGTTGCACGAGGCTTCAGTCAGCGACAGGGAATTGACTTCTTCTAGGCCTTCTCCCCTACCCCGAAGATGACCACTCTTCGGGTGTTGCTGCACGTCGCAGCTCAGCGTGACTACGAGCTGCACTCTCTTGACTTCGGCACAGCTTTCTTACAGGGCAGCCTGCACGAGGAGATCTGGCTGCGCCGCCCACCTAGCTTCACTGGGTCGTTTCCTGCAGGTACCGAGTGGAGCCTCCAGCGGCCAGTCTGCGGTCTCCGTCAGGCGCCTCGCGAGTGGCACGACACACTGAGGATGACGCTTGCGGCTCTTGGGTTTGCTCCTTCTACTGCTGACCCGTCGCTGTTTTTACGCACCGACACTTTGCTGCCGCCGTTCTACGTCCTCGTGTACGTCGACGACCTGGTCTTTGCCACTGTTGACACTGAGGCACTGGCGCTTGTGAAGTCGGAGCTGCAGAAGAGACACACCTGCACTGTCTTGGGTGAGCTGCTCAGCTATCTTGGCTTGCATATCACCCGGGACAGAGCACGGCGCACCATCACCCTGACTCAGTCACACATGGTGCACCAGATCCTTCAGCGCTTCGGCTTACGGTACTCCTTGCCACAGTCCACTCCTCTGCCTACCGGTCACTCGCTCTCAGCTCCACCTTCGGACGAGTCCGTAGAGCCAAGTGGCCCATATCCAGAGCTTGTGGGCTGCCTCATGTACCTGATGACCTGCACTCGACCTGATCTTGCCTACCCTCTTAGCATCCTGGCACGCTACGTTGCGCCTGGGAGACACCGACCAGAGCACTGGGAGGCCGCTAAGAGGGTGTTGCGCTATTTGTGCAGTACTTCGGGCATAGGGCTCGTGCTTGGAGGACGGGGTCCAGTTGTCCTCACTGGACACGCAGACGCTTCTTGGGTTGACGACTTGGCTACGCAGCGGTCGTCACAGGGTTACACCTTCAGTCTTGGCTCTGGCTCTGCTTCCTGGCGGTCTACCCGCTCGTGTGGTGACTTCGTGATCCACCCTGAGCTTTCTTTGCGTGTTGTGACCACTTGTGACCACTTGTTCTCTCCCACTTTGCCTATGAGGGTGTGTCAAAATGTTATAATTCTTACATTGTGTAGGCTATAGTGGGGTAGCCCATAAGGGGTACAACCCAATTAGGGTTAGTACTTGTACCAACTTTCTACTCAATGCATTCATTCTCGTTCAGTATTCTGACACTAAGTACATGCAGACATGACGCCGATTGTGAACTTCGGAGAGTATTTTGGCGTGACACCTGAGAGGTGCTAGGGCATGGAGTCATGTGGCGTAGCAGTAGGACTACTTGGTACGTTACTTGGTCATGAGCTTGAGTGATGTTTTGGAACCCTGTGTTTTTGTTCTTCTCTCACCAATCCCAAGCCTCGTGTATTGGCCATCGAATACTAGGTGGTATTAGAAGGGATATATAATCAGATTACAACAAAGCAGCAGATGCACATTCAACAAACCCCAGGTGTTTCCTCTTCTAAGCACCGACCCACCCCGTGGGATAAAACATCATGTGACGTGGAAGCACACAAGAAAAAACTAGCGAGAAACGGAAGAAGCATCATCACTAGCTAAAAGCATCATCCTGAGTAGGCTCCATAGACTTCTGAAACACAGGTGGGGGCCAGGATTTGTTGGCCTTCAAGGCACATATTTATGGCTGAGAGGGGCAATAGAAGGGGAAAGGCAGACCAAGAGAATGTGCACACAGAAGTCAACTGGAAGGGACACCTGGCATGCGATAAGACATGTGAGGCCGACAAACCAGGGACATCTGGCATGTGAGAGCAGCACACATGATCAGATGGCATGTGAAAGCGACAAACCAGGGACATCTGACATGTGAGAGCAGCACACATGATCAGATGGCATGTGAAAGCGACAAACCAGGGACATCTGACATGTGAGAGCAGCACACCGGATCACATGGCATGTGAGAGCGACAAACCAGGGACATCTGACATGTGAGAGTGGCACACCAGATCACTTCGCATGTGAGAGAGACGGAACGAAACAAGGGAAGGGATGCACGTGACAACCGCAGTGCTGACATGGCTATGCTGTGCTGTGCTGTGCTGTGCTGTGCTGTGCTGCACTGTGCTGTGCTGCGCTGTGCTGTGCTGACAACCATAGTGCTGACATGGCTGTGCTGTGCTGTGCTGACAACCATAGTGTTGACATGGCTCTGCTGTGCTGTGCTGTGCTGACAACCATAGTGCTGACATTGCCCGTCCACCATGTCTGTACCTGTGGCGCCCGGCCAGAGCAGCCCGGACCCCACGCGTTAATGGAGTCCACGCAACGCCTATATTGGTCCATGTCACCCGCGTTGTAGTATGAGACGCAGATTTGCATTCTCCTCTCGATCGCGGATTGGCATGAGGCTGGTGTAATAGGGACCGCCCAGTGAGGCGGCAGGCAGGATAGGAGAATCGAGGAGCTTGATTAGAAAACGTTCTCGGGTTTTGCCGGACAAATCGCGACAGCAAGGCGGCAATGTCTCATTGCTGCTGGAAAGTGAAGGCCGATGCCTTGCAATCCCAGATGCCAAGGCACGCAGCAAATCCGTGTGGAAAAGGCACGGACATTTGGAGAAAAAAACAGAGCACTCTGAAAAAATATCACAGCGGGGGAACGGCAGAGGACCTGATCGCTCATTCTACGTTTGCCAAGCCCTAAACCAGTGTTTAGTCCGTACAAGTAGACCGACTCCCATGATCATCGTACCATCGGATACCGCCGGAAGCTTGCGGTGGCGCTGCACGCGCGGCACTTGGTTGGGCTGGCCGGCACTCGCCGCGTTTTCTGCTGTGGCGACGCCGTCTGTCGCCGCGCTCGTTGCTGGTAGGGGCAGGGGAGAGTTAGGGTCAGTTAAGCGGCGGAGGAGGCCGGGGCAGAGTGAGATGGGATGAGTGGGTAGACTGAGGGGAGTGAGAGGAAGGAGGTAGGGGCGGATAGAGGGGAGGCATGAGAGGAGTTGGATGGCGTGGTTGATGCAGGGGGGAAGGAATACGATTCAGGCTGAGCGAGGCTCACTTTCCTGCAAGCAAGTGCCCAGAAAGTGCCGTGCAACTGTAGAAGCAAGTGCGACGCCGGGGTCAGGCAAGAATGAAGCCGCTTTGCATGTGGAAGAAACAAGTGAGCACGTGTGAATTCCGTTGAATTATGCTTGGTGCGAGAGCGCGTGGGCTGCAGTAGAGGCGAACGAGAGGCGAGAGTATTGGAAAACGAGTGAAAAGGCGCAATACATAAGCGCGGCTCCAGGGATTCAATCACAGAGCCTCGGCGTAGGTTTCGCGATGGCACTCTCGGAGAGTATACGGCCGTACCTTGGGCGAAAGAGAGCGCCAGGATTGCAGCCAGGAAGATCGCGATGCCGACGGAGAGAATGGGGCGAGCCATGGGGTTGTAGCGTGATGAGGTAACTGGGAGAGATTGAGAACTGAGCGTGAAGATAGGTATTGAGACTGGTGCTGAGTGGATGCTTAGCTGCGGAATTTGTAGACAAAATGAATTGGTTAGGGCCAAGAAGGACTAGGGCAGGGGGGTATCCGCCGAAGTGACTCTGGGCTGGGCTGCTGAAGAATGTGAATTATGCAATTTCGATGATTATGCAATTCAAGGGCAATAATGCGATTCGCATTCTGCCCGGACCGGGAAAAAATGTGACGCGTTGAAAGTCTGAAGGATCGACGGCCCAGAATCAATCTGCATATGAAATGGAAAAAGTTCCTGCTAATTGGTGATGATGGCAATGATTCAATATGCGAGCTGCCCGGTGTAAACTTGTAGAGTTGTGACCAACTCGCCACCACAATCAAAGATGGACGCGTTCCCTGAAAAGAATCGCCCCAACGCGACCATTGGATGCCGCAAATGGCGGTTAAAAGGAGATGCAGTATACGAATGTTCGTTACAAGCGAGAAGTGAAAGCGGGAGTCACATTATGTTCTGATTTTTATCAGACTAAAGAACTTATGGCTGGACTTGGAGGCGTGAAGCCTGAGAGTGGCCTGACTCAGGAGAAGTGCTTTGAGACACTGTCTCGGGTTTATGACAGGAAAAAAATATTATCAGCTTGCTGAAAATATTTGGTCTTTACTATGCTTGTGTAATGTTTTGGTATCTAGTGATTTGGCCTGTTTATTGGCCGTTTACTAGGTGGAAACAGAAGGGATGTATAATCAAAATACAAAAAACAGCAGATACACCAGGGCCTATCTTTGGATTTTGGCTACTCATGATTAGCAGTGTAGCCATTTTCAAAACCCTTTTGAGCAGTGTGTCCTTTTTTGTTACACTGATGGATCACTGTAACTTGAAGTTTTGAAAAAAATACCCAGAAGCATCAGTGTAGGTTTTTTTTTTTACCCTGATTGTACTGTAGGCAGTTGTGTGTTCCATCTGAAACTGACACATACTAGTCCAGGATGATTTGTGATAGAATCTGCTGTGACAGACGAATCTCTGGCGTGATCGATCGAATTTGCATATTCATCTACTGTGATAGGTCAAATCTGCATGATCTCTACTGTGATAGGTTGAAAATGCACTGACAAGTCGAATTTGGCGTGGCAGGTCAAGAATGAATCTACTTGTCGGTCCCACTTGTTGTAACAAGAAACGAGAGATTCTACTTTGATTGGTCAAACAGGCCTTGGTAAAAAAAACTGACGCGTCAGACTGGAAAAAAACGAAAAAGCTGATGGATCAGGTGGCACCTTTGAATTCTAGCGAGGACCCTAGTTGTCAGTACTCACGTGCTGGCGTTATAGTGCATCATTACGAAATTGGGTGTACCGTCAGCCCCCGGATAGAAGCGCCTCTGGGGGTATATAATTATAATTGAAGATTTTTACAAGCGCCGTGGCTTATATAATGACATATATGAAATCTAGTTTCTTTACACCAAAGTGTTCATCTCGTCCTTGCGATTTGAATCGAATCGATATTGTAGAGGGCAATGAATGTGAATTTCGCGTAAATTGGCAGTGGCTGATTCCTGTTATAATAGTGAAGGAAGGAATGACTGAACTAGCAAGCAGGTGGGTACAAGTAGGAAACCTAAAAGTATTGTACCCTATATGAACTACCCCACTACAGCCTAGACATACTATAACATATAAGTTTGACACACCCCCATAGGCAAAGTGGGGGAGAACAAGAGGTCACAAGACCGGTCAAGAAAGGCAAAGCAAGCTCAGGGTGGATCACGACGTCACCACGCATTCTGAGCACAAGAAAATGGCCACAAGGCCAGTTCACATGCAGAGTTATATAAAGGAGAATAAGCAATACAGTGAACACAACCTAGCAAGTGTAAGCATGCAGGTATATGTATAGAGATCACAGTACAAGCAGCGTCAAGAAGTAAGCAAGTGAGGCACAGTAGGTACAAGGCCTAGAACAGTACAGAAACGCTGATGATCACAAGGTTGAAGTGCCTTGGTGAAAACATCAGCAGTGTTGGCCCGAGTGGCCACGTAAGCAAGACGAAGCTGACCACGCTGCTGCAACTCTCGAGCAAGGAAGTAGCGCAGAGCAATGTGCTTCGTTCTGTGCTCCAGTCTGTGCTCCTGACACAAGGCAATCATGGCCTTGTTGCCGACGTACAGCACTGGAGGAGAACGAGGCGGCACTCCCAGGTCGGTCAGCAGGTAGGTTAGCCAGCGTAACTCCTGCGCAGCCATGGCCCCTGCGTAGATCTCAGCCTCACAACTGGAGCTGAGAACAGAAGACGAGCGGGTAGACCGCCAAGAGACAGAGCCGGAGCCAAGGCTAAAGGTGTAACTCTGTGACGACCGCTGCGTAGTCAAGTCGTCAGCCCAGGAAGCGTCTGCGTGACCAGTGAGGACAAATCGAGCCCGTCCTCCAAGCACGAGCCCCATGCTCGATGTACTGCACAAGTAGTGCAACACCCTCTTAGCTGCATCCATGTGCTCCTTCCTGTGTCTGCCAGGAGCGACATAGCGTGCTAGAATGCTAAGAGGGTAGGCAAGGTCAGGTCGAGTGCAGGTCATCAGGTACATGAGGCAGCCCACAAGCTCTGGATACGGGCCACTCGGCTCTACGGACTCGTCCGAAGGTGGAGCTGAGAGCGAGTGACCGGTAGGCAGAGGAGTGGACTGTGGCGAGGAGTACGTGAAGCCGAAGCGCTGAAGGACCTGCTGCACCATGTGTGACTGAGTCAAGGTAATGGTGCGCTGTGCTCCGTCCCGGGTGATCCGCAAGCCAAGACAGCTTGTGAGCTCACCCAGGTCTGTGCACGTGTGTCTCTTCTGCAGCTCCGACTTCACGTGGGCGAGTGCCTCAGTGTCAGCAGTAGCAAAGACCAAGACGTCTATGTACACGAGAACGTAGAACGGCGGCAGAGTGGTGTCGGTGCGTAGAAACAGCGACGGGTCAGCAGTAGAAGGAGCAAACTGAAGAGCAGCAAGAGTCGTCCTCAGTGTGTCGTGTCATTCACGGGTTGCCTGGTGGAGACCGTAGACTGGCCGCCGGAGGCTCCACTGGGTACCAGCAGGAAAAGACCCAGTGAATCCAGGTGGGCGGCGCAGCCAGATCTCCTCGTGCAGGCTGCCCTGTAGGAAGGCTGTGCTGAAGTCAAGAGAGTGTAGCTCGTAGTCACGCTGAGCGGCGACGTGCAGCAGTACCCAAAGAGTGGTCATCTTCGGGGTAGGGGAGAAGGTCTGGAAGAAGTCAACTCCCTGTCGCTGACTGAAGCCTCGTGCAACGTAACACGCCTTGAAGACAGGCGGAGAACCCGGCGGCCGCTTCACCCTGAAAATCCACATGCCACTGACGATGTTCGCCCCAGGCGGGGGAACCTCGTCGACGTAGGTGCCTGTGGACTTCCAGGAAGCCATCTCTGTGTCCATGGCTGTCTGCCAGTGAGAGGAGTAGGGACCCTCTATCGCCTCTGCGTAAGAGCGCAGGGTCGGGATGTCTGGTGCATCCGGGTCTCCCTCAGGGGCAAGCAGCATGGACACGAGATGGGGTAAAGCAGCAGCAAAGCACTCAAACTCCTCCTGTCTGTCCTCAAGGACGTCCGTGCCAAGAGCACACTCACCCCTGACTGACGGAGGACAGACAGACACAGACTCAGACTCAGCAACAAGACTAGCGGCGTAGTCTAGACGACAGGCGGCAGCAAAGTCAACAAGCTCAGCAACTAGAGCAGACGCAGCAGTGGACTCAAACGAAGGGTCAGTGACTACAGTGGCAAAAAAACGCGTGACAGTAGGACTAGTTGCACGAAGGGAGTCAGACTCCGGGTCCGGACCGTCAGGAAGAGAGGACGCAGGAGGAGACGACAGAGGGACACGCTGTGGAGCAGTGGAAGGACGCAGAGTCATAGAGTGAGTGCCGGGGACAGGAGGAGGACGCTGACGTGGAACACGGCGACCATTGCGAACAGCGCGAACAGGCGACTCAGGACGAGACTCAGGACGAGACTCAGTATCGCGGACAAAAGCTCGAGATCCCCAGACACGGAACACAGACGCATTGCCAACCTTCCCCGTCCACCGCAGAGTAGGTGTGGTCTCCGGCAAGGAGACACGAGGCTGAAGGTTGATCTGATGCGCAGCGTACTGAACCGCAAACGGCCACAGAAAATGGGGAGCAGCCGCATGGATCATTGACGTACGAGCGACGTCCATGACCATGCCAATGCGGTGCTCAGCAATCCCATTTTGCAGTGGGGAGGCCGGAAGCGTGAACGTCTGGCGGATGCCCTCCGCACGACAGAAAGCCCTCAGAAGGTCGGAGGAAAACTCACCACCTCTGTCAGAGTGCAGACGCAGAACAGGAAGGTCCGAGCCGAAAATCTCGCTGAGCTG